ATATATATATATATATATATATATATATATATATATATATATATATATATATATATATATATATATATATATATATATATTAGGGGTGTCATGATTTCGATTTTTAATCGAAATCGATCGAAATTTATGCTCAATTTCGATTTATCGAATCAAAAAATAGAATCGTCGATGCTTTGGGTTCCCTTTTCGCGATCCTCCGCCCGCCCCCGTTGCAAATCCGCTCGCGAAAAGTGCACACTCAGGCCCTGTTTCCACTGTCTTTGTTTTTAAATGGCATTTTAGAACGACAACGATTTGACATCCACAGTGGCGTGTAGCATTTCTGAGCAGCCCTCCTTCCTCTCTACCTCTGAAAATGCACATCACGTGACCACACAGACACAGACGCACACACAGCCATGCGCTCGAGACAGCAGGTCCAGGCAGTCAGAGGACTGCTTCAATCTTTCACTCACTTGTACTTCGTCATTTTAGCGAACACCTTAGATACTGTTGGCTGGTTCCTGTTGGTTGTGCGTCTTTTTTACCGACGCCATTATAACGACACAGATCACTGCCTATTCACGAGTCCCGCAGAAAAAGTGATTGACAGGTGGTAATTATGTGTGTATCTTGCCTTTATTCATTTACTGTATGATTTGTTTATGGATAAAACAAAGACCATGCAGGTCAGGTAGTTTAAACGGTAGGCTACAAATAATTAATTGGTCATTATTTAATTATTCATAATCGAAAATCGAATTGATCGTGCCTTTAGAATCGAAAATGTAATCGAATCGAGGATTTGGAGGATCATGACTCCCTTAATATATATATATATAAGTTAGGGTAATTTGGTGGTTAACAGTGGTTAGTTCTGGGGACAATCCAAAACTAATACTGCTTAAGGGGGCTAAAAATATTGATCTTAAAATGGCTTTAAAAAATTAAGATCTGCTTTTATTCTAGCCGAAATAAAACAAATTAGACTTTCTCCAGAAGAAAAAATAATATAGGAAATACTGTGAACAACTGAATCTGTTCAACATCATTTGGGAAATATTTGAAAATGTTCACAGGAGTGTGAACAATTCTGACTTAAACTATCTACAGGGGTTGGACAATGAAACTGAAATGCCTGCTTTAAGACTACTATCTAAAAAGACATAATAAAAGTCATGTGTACATTGTGTTTGTGTCTGCTTAGCTTATTAACAGGTTTGTTGTGAGTGTCCAGAGCTGTGGTTTTCATCTGTTTTTGTTTGTCAGTTGATTTGTCCCAGAGCTGCTGTGATTTAATGCCACATCTCTCTTCACTCCTTTACTTATTCAGAGAGAACTCAACAGCCCGAGGTGCTTTACTAATGGCAGCGCTCGAATGGATGCTTGCAATTTCAGCGCGCTTCTGTTCTCAAAAGCTAATCTGTTTTTTTGTTGTTGTTGAAGAAAGTCAAATATATAGGTCGATATCAGCCACTGAAGCCCCATTGGCACTTTTGTTTGCGTAGGTGGATATTTTCTCAGTTGACATCCAGATAAATGGTGTCAGATTCTGGCGTCGGTGATATATAAAACACACGTTGCGAGGCTTTCTGAAACACCGTGTGTGATGGAGCACGTCAGAAATGGGCTTTTCAGATCTGGTCTAATAGTTTATGCATGTTAAATGCAGAGGCAGAGCAATTGATTGTTTCCTCGTGTTATGTGGCTCTCGTCTGGAATATATGATTCTGATTGGTCAGTCGGTCATTTCTGAATATTGACCATCACCCGGGGCAACGTCATATTTTCATCAATCAGTTCAGTGTTTCCAACATCACGTTCCCTTAGTTGTGTATCTAGTGTATGGAAGATAATGCAGGTTTTGATTTCTGCATATACCATTCATCCATGCAACCATTCATCCATCCACCCGTTCATCCATCCATCCGTTCACCCATTCATTCATCCATCCATCCACATTTTCACCCATTCATCCATCTATCTATCCACCCGTTCACCCAATTATGCAACCATCCATTTATCTATCCATCCACCCATTTATCCATCTATCCATCCACGCTATCAATAACCCATTTATTCATCCATCCACCCATTCATCCATCCATGCAACCATCCATCCATTTACCCATTCATTTATCCATTCATGCAATCATCCATCCACCCATTCATCTACCTATCTGTGCAACCATCCATCCATTATTTGTCCATCCATCCACCCTTTCATCCATCCACCCATCCATGCAACCATCCATCCATCCATGCAACCATCCATCCATTCACCCAATTACCCATTTATCATCCACCCTTTTACCCATTCATCCAACCATCCATCCATCCATCCACCTAGCCATCCATCCACCAATTCACCCTTCATCCATCCACACAACTATCCATCCACCCATTCATTCATGCATTTATGCAACCATCTATCCATCCGTTACCCACCCCTCCAACCATGCATCCACCTCTCCTCCAGTTTACCCATCGATCCACCCATTTATTCAGTCATCCTTCCATCCACCCACCTATCCATCCACTCATTCATCCAACCATCCATCTAGCCATCTATTAATCCACCTAGGCATCCATCCATCCATCCATCCATCCATCCATCCATCCATCCATCCATCCGATTATTTAATAAATTGTTTATGCAATTGTTTAACTAATTATTCAAATTATGCATTTACTAATATATGTATTTATTTAAAGATTTATTAATTTAATTAATTTATCCATTTAAATATGTATTCATTAATTACACTTATGTAAGATTTTAGTTTAGTTAGTTAGCTATGTTCTCATGTATCATCCATTCATCCATCCATCATCAATGATCATAATCAATAATTATGAAAGTAAATATGATCACTTAATAAATGTCATAACTTTATTAATCAAATAAGCATAATTACAGAAATGTGTAACATATTTTTTAAAGTTAAATGCACAAATTCTGACTCATTAAAATTAAACTGATTAAAGTGATTAAAGAGATTAAAATTAGATTAAAATGATTAAAGAGATTTAAGAGATTAAAATGTTGCTTGCTTTTATGTGTGTATATATATATATATATATATGTATGTGTGTGTATGTGTGTGTGTGTGTATATATGTGTGTGTGTGTATATATGTGTGTGTGTGTGTATGTATGTGTGTGTGTGTGTG